TCGCACAGGATTGGCGCATCATTACTTGGGAGGGCTCCATGGGCCTCAACGAGGCCCGTCGATTTAGCTCATGGCTGTGCAACCGGTTACCCTCGAGTGGTTGCAGGTGGCCCTCGGCATGCGCGTCCCCTACTACTGGTGTGAGTCCTGCGGCTGCTTTACTTTTGTCGCCTTGTTCCTTTTTGAGCCGTGGGCCCGTTGTCACGGCCTTGAAGGCTTAGCAGCAACCTTGAACCGCCAGTCCAACAAGCTAAAACCAAAAGTCGGAATTCCTGTTGCAGTCACGGACTTTAGCGAGTTCTCTCCCCAAAGTAGCAGTGCCCTGGTCAGGGGTCATCTGTACCAAGTTTGCATGAACGGGTGTGGCCTTTGAATCCCAGGCTGATGGCGAGAACATGCGGGCAGCGAGCGGCAGAGGAGCCGCTTAGAACCCCGCTATAAATTCAAAACAAGACCCCAGAGCCTGTGCCTCAGACGAGAACCACTCGAGGTCGCGGACTCTGTCGCAAGTTGCGATGCGAACCGTTCAGGGGGCTCCGCAAGACATGTTCGTCCGAATCCGAATCTTTAGAGATTGTCGTTTGTTTGAGATTCTGTTGCTCGGTTGCAAGATTCCCGTGCAGGACCGACACTGTTGAGCTGCATGTGACCTGAGACGATGCTACCATTTCCTCCTGCTGCTGATGCTGTTGCTGTCTCTAGTGCAGCTACTCGGGTGGTGCACAGGCTGCTCTGGGTGTACGATGCCAGCGGCCCAGCTGCCACCACCCCATAAACCCCTGTGCATCGTGCGATGACGGCTCAGCTCTGCGCATTGATTCCGAACGGCACTCCCTTTCGTACTTGAGTGGCTTACAGCGCAAACGGAAGCAGGATCTGTTGCTTAGCGCCACGATGCCAACCTCGACAGATCTCCGGCAGCTGCCTCTCAGACTGATGGGTTCAGAGTTTTCAGGAGGGTTTGAGTGTGGTTTGGCTAAGGGGGTTGGGAGGTAATTCTTCGGGCCCAACTGTTTGTCAAGAGTTGAGCTGACTTTCTCCTTGAACCTCGTTGACGTCTGGAGAATGAAAAGGATGCAACCTTCTGCCTTGGACGATCCAAGTCTGCGTCTTCGAGACACTGGCCCGGAAGGCTTCCGCAATTGACGAGAGTCCAACTCACCAAACCCAAGAAACCGAAAAGCTCGACATCGGCTTTGTGTGAAGAAGCAGCCAACTGCGGAAGAAGGCAACTGGTCGATGAGATCGTTGAGAAGCCGGAGGCCTCCCCAGCGAGCCACCCAAACTGCTCCTTGTGATGGTTGGTTCAGTACCGACTGTATCATCGTAGCCGTCGTAGCTGTTGGGGATTCCTTTACTGGGCTTCCGAACATGCGTTTGCGCTGTAATCAGTATCCCTCCGGGGCGAAGATTAGGGCACAGTGCTGGTTGTAAGTATGATTTTGGCCAGGTCGTCGTCTTGGTGTTCCCTCAGTACGCTCATGCCTTTGTGGAGCACGAACGTAACTAGTGAGGCAACAAAGGGTTGACCATGTTTGATATGCGCGAGCAGGTTTGATGTGAAGGGTTCGCAACTTTTGGAGTTTCGCCGCAGTTTCTGACACCCTGATATGATGTTGACTCCATCCTATGGGTCGTGGACTTTGCACAGGACTTGCTGCCAGCCGGTGTGGAGAAGCTGCAGAGATGGCTGAAATTCCCCAGCGAGGCCCGGGGTACTCCTGAGGGCCCGGCCCATGACAAGTGAGCCCCTCAACGTTTTTGAAGACGCGGAGATCGTCTCATCACGTAGGGGGGTGTGGCTGCGGCATGTTGCCTTCGGCCCAAGAATTCGATTCTGGATGACCGTTCCCTTTTGGTGAGGGTTCGGGGTTCGTTTCTGCGACTTCGGGTCTCCTCCAAAACCAAAAGTCGTTATTCAATAGACCCGTAAAAAGCTGGCAGGATAAGTGAGGGAGCTTTGTTCTTTAGCTGTCGCCCGCGATGCTCTTCTCCTTTCTCGTCGTGGTTCAGCAGTCCATACCAGCACGAGCCGAACTTGCCAGCGCTTGCCGGCTTCTGTCCATCACTTTGGATTCATCTACGCGGCACATAGCATGGTTTTGCGATAGTTCCAGCGTCCCGTGCGCTTGGCTTCTTGGCTGGCCAGGGCTATGTGCCGACCAAGAACCACATGAGAGGCCGGAAACCGTGCAGGAAGCCTTGAAAGCCGCTAGACTACACTATTTGCAGCACCGGCGAAGCAGTCTCTCCACAAGTAAGCCGTGTCGGCCGATAGGCACGTATAACCGCTCTATTTGGCAGCACCAGGACCTTTATGTGACTTCGAAAGTTTGTTGCGGTCCTGGGATTTGGGGTTGATTTTGCTCGGAAATCGGAGTGGCCCGTGCTTTGTCCGAAACCAGCCACTAACGTAAAGACACTGTAGCTTCGGATGCTTGGCTTGATAAGTGGAAGCCGCCCAAAAAGGTCACATAAGGATCGCTTTACACATGGCATAGCTACAGACTGTCCTCAGTTGAGTTGTTTCGGACAGTTAAGTTGGACTTCGGGCTGTTTGCGCTTGAAAGCGTTGCCAACACTCGCAGCTAAAATTCCGGTCCACCAAGACAAGCGTTGTTTCCACTCCTGTCTTACGGGTACCAGACAGACTGAGACTCAGGGCTCTTGGAGAGGACCTTAGAGTGAACGCGTACTTAACTGTTCCGTTCAATTTGTACGCCTTTGTCATTTACGTAGATCTTGCTGGTGGCCTGGACCGGACAGGAGACTTCGCCAAGCGATGGCGAGATGGGATCGAGTGGGAGGGGCAAGAGGCAGCAAGGGGCGATGTTTCATTCAGCAGAGCTTTTGGTGGCGGGGCCTGGGTAAACTGATGCGAAGGAGAAGGTGGCGCCGCCAAAACCCTGGGGCCAGAACCGGGCGCTGCAGGTCTGGAAGGCCATCAACGACCCACAAACTGTGGCGACGCTGGGCCAGGCCGGGCTGGGACCGGGCATGACTCTCAACCACCGCCCTCCAGTAGAATCGACAACTCGGGATGAGACTTTCAGATTGCAGGATTGGCGGGGATGTCAGAGAGATTGGCGAGGATTTTGATTGCCTGCTGGCATGTAATCTGCCAATGGATGCATTCTTGAAACTTCGATGAAGCAGCAGCATGATGCAGATTGAAGGGCTCCGGCTCCCGAGGGCTGATGGCATAAACTCCAAAATCGTCTAGCCCAACAACTTGTTGTTGCGACAATTCCCCTTGCTATCCGCAACGCTGAGAGACGTCAACCTGGACAGCAAAGCTCGTACCTTTCTACCTTTCAAGTCTGGACGAGGTGATCAAGCGACTCTCTGGCGGAGGGAAATCGAAGCTCTAGGGAGCGTAGGTCTTCGCGCAGTGACGCGGGTCGGCTATGCCGTGAGGCTTCCCAGCGCCTGCATGGCCACTTCTCTGTTTCAGCTCATGTCCTCTCGCGGCGGGCACAGACAACATCACACAACCATTCATGATTCATGCAAGTAGAGAGCCTGAGCTTGCAGGGCTCATGTGTTTCAAGACTGAGTGTGGGCATGCTCAGGGGCTTGACGAAGGCTTCAAGCGGAATGTCGCATGGTCCCGCCGCGGCAGAAAATCAGCCGATTGCTTGGATGCGGCCTGATGACAAGGCACCTAAAGCTCTGGATGGAGTACATTCCCCGGAATACCGAATGAAGCTCACGTTCATAGTAATCCAAGAAGCCAGGACAGAAGCCTGCTTTCCTAGCCTGCGCACCTCGAATGCGTCACAGCACAAAGTCATCGCAGACAGCACATTTTGTTTCACGTATTACAAAGCTCGACAGCCTTCAAGACAAGCTCGCCATATCAAAAACCAAAGCAAACACCTCGCATGTACCAAGTAGTTCGGCCAATCCTCCCTGCTGCTGTCGGTCCTCGAACCTTCATCACAATCCAGGAGGCTTGTGGGTCATAGGTGCAGCAGATAAGGGGTAAAGATGCATGGACCCAGCCGGTTCAGGACCAAGCGACAAGTGCGAACCGCGTACCGTACTCCTGACCCATATTCCGCAAAGACACTCGAGTCATGCAGATCCGACTTCGCGACAGCCACTTTAGCAATGCTTGAGACGTGAAGTTGCCACGCATGTCGCAGACATGTGTAAGTCACGAGGAACGTGACACCAACAGGTACAAGCCCTGCGACTGTTGGCTTTTTCCCAGCCTCGTAAACCGACGACTGTCCCCAGCTCTTGTGACTGATTGCACTTTTCAACACCGAAACGTGGGACCTCTGTCGCGGTCAGCACGTTGTTGAAGGGGTGGCTGGCCAGGTGCAAGGGGTAGAGCCTGCAGCTCGGTCCAGTTTCATGTGTCTGCTCGGACGAACTGGGAACCGAACCTTGCGCACTTCATGGAAGATTCAGATGGTGACCGTCAACATTTGCTGTCTCATGCTACCAGCAGCTTCTTTGCGGAACCTCTACTGCGATGTGTACTCGGCAAACCCAAGCTCCCATTCGTCCTGAACCATAACCTTCCAGTTAAGACTCTTGAAGCTAGCCGAAGCACAAGCCATTAGAGTATGATCGGCTGCGAGAATGAAGCTCCAAGCTTGATGAGTCCACTACTGTGGGCTATGCTATGATGGCTATTGATGGCTCAAGAATTCATTGCTGGCTCCGGCGTGGTATTTATCAATAATGGTTTGTACACTCAGCCAATTTTCGCTTCCAACCATCAAGTCAAGCTCGAAGTACAAATTCGCATATGAGTCATGCTGGAACAGGTTGGACCGTAACTTTGTTGCAGGTATCCTTTTCGTTACGGATTCGATACGCTTTGGTCGGATTCTATACGCTTTGGCTGAAGGGCAGCATGAATGGCATTTGATCTTACTACTTACTCTCAGCGTCATTCCTGCGTACATAAGGTTAGCATGTCCAGAAACCGAGATACACGGCCCGTCGTTCGCCCTTTGCCTGGGCCGGCAACGTGTAATGCATGAATGGCCTTGGCTGCACAAGATGTGCTGCAGAGGCGAGGGTGCTGCATGCAACACGCTGCCTTCCGATTGGTCAAGCACGAGTGTCTGACTGCCTTAGTTTCAATATGTTTCAATCTAGTACGATTTCAAGCCTTTAGCCACCAAAAGGTGGAAAGCCTTGTTAGGCCTTTCCACCTACTCCGCCACGAGTGCTGTAGTGCAGCCACCGGCATAACGTTCTATCTGCGCTGCAGCGCTGGACAGCCCAATGCAGCAACAAGCATGGGCGGGAATGCACTGCGAAGGGCGAAGGTGCACAACCAGCTTAGGTTCACACTAGCCCACAACGAACATGGGCAGACGCTAGTACAGGCCTTAGACAGTCGGCGTATCCGTGTCCGTGTCGAGGAAGCCGACAAGCGATGTTGCAAACCTGTGTAGTCTTTTGATAAAACTGCAGGTGTGCCCAAAGCTTCAATGACACCTCCTCGTGCCTGAAGGCAAGTCAGGGCTTGTTGCCAGGCTAATGTTCCCGTTAGTCTGGGTGCGTGGGGACTACGCTTCTGTCTCCGTTTTGGAATGCAAATCAGAGTTGGTTGAAGAAATCGACCACAGTCTGGGATCGGTTTTTTCTGGGATTCGAGGAGGACATGATGCGTCTACAAGCAAGCTCGGCAAAGCCACGCAAAGCCATTTTGAGTGCCTGGAGTACCAGTTTTCTCCTCAACCTACAAAGAGCATTCGCCAGAAGCCCATTCTTACATATTCTTACCATCCTACGCCTTTACAGCATAGAGCCCGAGAGAATGACGACAGTCAGGAAAACAGCAAAGCCGGGAACATTGTCGAACCAACGAACCCAGGCGAGTCCGACATCACCGGGCCATACGTCGAGAAGCAGGCCGAAATTTTGGAGAAGATCTGTACGTAGCTCGCTGGGTTTGATATCGACGGGCGTAAATCACGTGGTTTATGAAATGCTGTTGGATGCCCTGTCCAAGCGTGCACTTGCAAGTACTGTAGTAGCATAGGAACATCCGCATCATCAATTAATGTGGTGAATGTCCGAGACTGCCAACGTGTGCAATTTGTTCATGTCAGGGTTGTTTTGAGCCGAGGGCTGCCTGCAGGGACTTTCCAGGCCGTGTGATTTGCTGCTTGGGCTTCGGATATCGAGTGTATGCTGTGGGCATTCTGGCCAGCAGCAGCAACCGTCCGTGATCGTCCTTTTTGTGTGATCGGGTCCGGGAATCCGAAATAATGTCTTGTTGTGGAGGCTGGGGCACGCGGGTGGGTACATCGGTACTGGAGAGTGCCTGAGACAATTGCGGTCCAGTGTTCATAGGATTGCTTTACCAGAGTTGGAAGCCTTTGAACCTCTATGTGTTTGAAGCTTGTGCTTTGCTCCATTTCCGGAAGCCATGCTGAAGATTCGAGGAATTGAGAAGGCCTTGGATCAGAGCGTTCCCAAGAATCGACCCTCACACGGGCTTTGTCTTTAGCCCTCAGCCCGGAGGACCCAACATGGCACTGCCGAGGAGAGTGGCGAGGCCATAGCTTGCCTGTTGAAAAGGGAGAGGGGGGGTTATTGGCCTTGGGTTTATTTAGTTGAGGCATTACAGACTTGGGCTTGCCGCCTAGAAGGCTTAATCCAGTCACTGCCACTGCCTTTTATATAGAGCTGCTGGAGCGGTTTCTTCGCTGGGCGAGCGGAACGGCGGGACAGAAGTTTTCACAAAAGTCGTTGCCATCGTACCTGTGCCTGAAATTAATGCGGACTTGTTTGTCCTTTGCCACGGCAGCTCGTCGAAGTTCAAGAATCGACCAACAGCTTCTCAACTCTAAAGGCTGGGTAAAAATCCCTTTTGTCATTTCGTCAAGGAGTCGAGCATGGAGCTTGCGAGCATCTCACGGTGTAAGATGCTTACTCGGGGAAGGTGCAAGTTTTCCTCTGGATCCGGCAAAGGGTGGACTCGAACATGCAGGCAACCTTCCAGCTGTGAGACCGGCGAGATGAAATCGTCGTATCCCGTCGCCTCAAAATGACCTGTGCACCTGTTGCTGTCAATCCTCGCCTTAGAACGAAGGTCACAACGACCAACTCGTAAAGTCGTTTCGAACTGCGGATCATTTGAGTCGGTTTCAGCCAAAGTCCTGGCGGTGCTTCGAGGAGAGCCCAGCCAGACCACGTTCAGCAAAGTCCTGGCGGCGTGAGGAGCACCTCGGCCAAGATCACTTCGGTGATCTCTAAGAGAGGGGCCGTAGCTTGACTAAAGCCAAGCGACAGTTATATCTGCTTGTCCTCGATGGGAACTCGTCAGTGGGACGGGACTTCAGGCCGAAGTGATTCCCCCCAATTGCCCTTGCTGTCGGCACGTGGGGGCAGTCTCTTGATCTTGTATGCTACCTAGGAGCCCTCATTGACGAGTCGAATAACGAGGGAACCCAAAGGCTAGGGACTCGCACCTGAAGCTTGCACCTCACTCCAACCTCGAGCTTGGGTGCCACCCAAACCGGCCCTGTCCTTATCTCAGAGCGAGAGCCCTTGGCCGCCTAGGCTGCAGTGTCTGGAGATGGTCCTGCGGAGGCTTCTTTGCACAGAAAATTCGGGACGAATGGATGATCTCTTGACATCGTTTATATAGATCAATCAATGCAGGCTCGTAGCCAAGTGAACTCTGCATTGCAACTCTGGGAATTCTTGGAAGCCTCTTGGCCTGGGGTTGGAAGAACACGGTGGTGATTCGGAAGCTAAACATCTCTCACGCATTGAGCCTGGTTTTCTGCAGCATCTGAGGGCTTAGGATTGAGGACGGATTGCCCCTCGAAGTCGCACAATCCCCACATCCGTATCCGCCTGCCCCGAAGCTACGAGGACCCCGACACGAAGTACCAGCCCCGGGAGATGTGTCCCTGCAATGACCACCAAACTCCTCGTAAGCGCAAGGTACAATCAATGCTCCCAATATTTAGGTGAGCGGGTTTTTGTCACTGAGTTGGATAGCGTGTGTTGTGCCATGAGCACCGGAGAGCGGAACGGATGTCCTTAAACGCCTGCACAGAGAAAAACGCTGAAAGCATGATCTTCATCTGCGCTTATCATGCTGATTCGGTGATTAAAGGGTGCCTTGCTTTGACAAAGCAGGAGCTGCCGCAAGGAGGATCGACTTGCAGCCTCATGGCTGCGAAAGTGTTCAGAATTTGAAGACAGTCAAAAAGCGATCTCTAATGTCGTCTCTAATCTTGTTAGGGTTGGACTTCCAGGCTTTTGGACGCAGCTTCGAGGGTTGGGTGGAGGCTCGAGGCTGCACGGGAACACATGTTTTCGAGTGTATGGGAGTCTTGCGAGTTGAGAGCTCGTGATTTCAGATCCATGGCCGTGTAGGCGTTTTTAAAGCCCGCAGGCCTTGACCCGTAAGGTTTTTGTTTGTTTCAAGAAAGCACGTGCTGCGCTTGATGCTTTCCTTTGGTTGTGCGAGAGGCTTGAGGGCCAGTGGCGAGGGCGGAGACACCCAAATTCGACCGAAAGCATGAAGCGGGTAGGGGGAAGAGGGTTTTTGTTTCGGCCAGTTCTAGCGGCTGTGGTCTAAGACTAAGAGTCTAAGAGGTTCTGTGAGCATCTGTGAGCTCCTCGCACTCTTCGCTTCCAGTGAGGCATACCTTCGCCGCGCGCACAACGTGAATGGAAAGAAGGTGAGGTATGCGGGGTTCACTTCTCCATGATTTCCGGCGTGGACCATATCGATCTAAAGGAATATCAGGCCGGAAGTAAGGGCAGGTGCGCAGCAGCAACAGAGATCCGAGAAACTTCGTGTCTACAACTTGGCAGCCACACAGACTGCGTTGCGAGGAGCGCTTGTTTTGCTTCGACGGCCCGGACGAACACATCCGCAGGGTGCTGCTGTGGCTCTCCGGCAATCAGAGCATGAAAGCTTTTACTTCCGAGCACAATTGAATACCCTGCACTAGTCACTAGTGGGAATGAGTGGGCCATTTCGTCATTTGCTTCTGGCGCGCGGCAGACAGACTCATGTACAAAACTGTGACCTGCATGCCCCATGTATAAGCTTCGGTTCCAATCTTGAGCCAGGCTCAGTACCGGCTTTAAAACCGGCAGAGTTGACTAAGATAATATCAGAATCTCTTTGACATGTGTAAGAGCCGCTTGAACTGTCGCAAAGCCCGTCATCTTGAGCCGCGCTACCTCTAAGCCCATAAGCACACTGCCTCCAGGGCATTGGACCCACCCTGGGTGGAGAACAAAGTCGCGAGCTCCTCGATGTGGCATTTGCACCTCGACGGCGCTACTTCAGATTCCAGCGTGGAGTCGGGAACTGGGTCAGAGCGGGGCCAAAGTAATCAGCGTCTTCCTGAATCTGCGGCTCAACGAAAGCATGCGGGGCAAAGTGCTGCTGGAACTGAATCCCTGAGACGAGCTCAGTTTTGCTATGCCCATGCCTTTAGCCTTGTTCTCACCTTTGTCTGTGGGTGGCCAGGAAGTGGACCGTCACAGACAGCGAGACAGACTACCGCTGCTTGGGGAGATTCCTTTTTGGGTACTCATCACTACTGCCAGTCCTTCTTACTTGTTGGTCCATTCTAAGAGCACGCAAGAGGCACTCACAGCAGCCTTCGCTCGCCGCTAATTATTGTTTTGCTACGTACGGCATGTACATGTTGGCAACTCTGCGCTGTGCATGGCACGGGGCACACATCTTGCAGACTTTTACGGTGCCTTGCAAAGCAAAGCAACAGCAAAGACTGCAATGGTCAATGGCGATATTCTACTGAAGAAGCTTTCTGAAAGGTGTCGTTTCAACTAAGCCTTTTTGCTAGTTGTACGTGCGGCCATCCTGCGCTATATCATGTCGTGACAGCTGTGTCATATGCAAACTCCGCTTCGTAGCACTGTATCCAAAACCTGCGTAGCACGTGTTTACTTGAGAGTAGCCATCATTGATATCTAGTCCTCTTTGTACTTTTGTACTGAAGCCGCGGCTTTTGGTTTTATCATCGCCTGAAGCTTCAAAAAGTACATGTCTGTAGGTGCAGCTAGCGCCTCGAGAGCTTCGTCTGCTGAGTAGCCACCGTTTGCCCCATTTCATTCCCGACTCAGGCAGATCCGGACAAAGAGGGCTGAGACAACTGTGAAGATTGTGATTAGCCGTTCGCGGTGTGGAATGGTTGCCCTCTTATTTTGTCCTGTGCTGCAAGGTTGCATCCAAGAAGACTCCAGCTCTCTGTACAACCATTTCCAGAACAACCGCGACTTGACAACGCCAGCTCTCCATCCGATGTCAGATCCACCCACAGGCCCTGCGCGCCCTGCGCTCCATTGCCAGCCTCCATCGCCTCCCTCGCAGCTATCTCATCATTGCATATGTCCTTGAGTCTTCACCACTGGGCCGCATTGCGGTGGTCCCATATAGATCCGAAGTATGTGAAGATGTCGATGCTTGTCCGAAGTTCAGCATGCACTGTGGCACTTGGGCCCCGGGTAAGGAGGCTCATTGTCGTGCTGTAAACCAACTCGCTGCAAACTCTGGAAAGAGCCCTCTCCAGACGACCTTGACGGTGGGTGTCTTTTGTCTTCAGTGACGACCATATCCCGAGGTCACGGCCCTACACCTTACTTAGAACATGGGCATTGAACAGGCTTACACTCTGGGTTATTGTTTGCTCTGCCGTGTATCACATACTCGTATTTGAACTTGAACTTGCTTCATGCTGTTGGGCTTCCGCCCGTGACATCTCTCCCACCCTCCGCGCCAACCGTATCATCACTCGGAAGTCTATGGGCCGAGGTTCCTTCGCGATTTTTTTCTGGAAGGATAAAGAACGCAGTTCGAACTGTTGGCACGACAAGACCGACTGCTGCGGTAGTGCCGTCGTAAGCCTTCGTCTACCCGCCAATATGATAGGTATGTACGTATGTACGTATGTATGTATGTATGTATGTACACACCTGCAAACATATTACAGATATAGTTATTGGATGTTATTGGCATGTGAAAGTTCTCGGGCAAGCTTTTCTGCAGACTTCGTTGAGCTCCGGCAGCCCAGGTGAGCTGACGACGAAAGTTTGCCTCACTCGCAATCTGCGAAGGCCCACCCAAGATCAGGGCCAAGCCTCTCGCGATGGGACGGCGCAGGATGTTCATGCACATATCGTTGATGTGATGACTGCTTGTCCCAGGCTTGCCTACGAGGAGCAGGTGGACATCGACACTTTCTTCCCGCGATCTTATGCAACTCGGGCCCTTGTCGAGGGTCTGTGACCTTGTCAGGTACCCTTTTTTGGTTTAAGGGAAGTTCTTTCGCACTGATATCCCAGCATTAAGGTGTGCATGTTTAACGATTTTTGGGAAGCAGTTATGGAGAGAATGTACCGGCTAGGAAGGGTACAGTTTTCAAAGGTTCGCATTCTTGCGCCACTAAACTCGGGTTAATTTGCGAACGCGTCTCCTGACCTGACCCTCTACCAGCACACCGACCCCAAGGGCAGCACTTGCCCAGGACATGGGCTCTCCAAGCGAAGTGGAGGAGTCCAGCGTGCTACAGAAGAAAGTTTGATGTATACCTATGATATACAGTGCATGAATGCATTGCATGCATACAAGAACAGATGTATGAAGGCTTACCAACCTGAGACAGCATACGTCGAGAGGCCGCATGAACTCGAGGACTTAATTCTCGACTTTCGCCGCTCTGCAGCTCTCAATGCTGCTTGGCGACTCGCAGTTCTCAGCTCGGCTTTCGTGTTGGGACCGCAGTGTCGTCCAAAGCATCGTGGTAGATCTTGTTTCCGAAGCCGGTTCATTTATTCCCTGTCGTTGCGGCTGTACTGTGAGCACTTTGATTGCGGGCCCCTGTGTCCTTGCTCGTGTTGGCGCAGCTTGGGAGTATCAGGGGATGTGGTTCGGCACTGCATGTTGCTCTTCAAAGATCGACTCAGGCTTAGCACTACCCCGCCCCTCCCCCCAAGACACCGAACCGCTGAGCCGGAATCGCTCAGTTAAAAGGCCTAGTCAAACTTGAAGTCGGCACCTTTGCAAGGTGGTAAACCGGCAATTCCATGGCTCCACAAGACCGAAAGCCTTCCTTCGCCTAAGCCCCACATGGAAGCCTAGGTTCTGCGACAGCACCTTCGCCTGGCAGAGCAGGCGGCCGATCGGAGGCGGAGGCGCGGCGTGGCACCGGCGGTTGAACTTGCAAGATTGCTTTCCCTTTTGAGATGTTGGCGGATGGTTTCAGCTTGCGACTTTGGTCAGGGTTTCACGCATAGGGCGAGCTGCGAGATAATTAATGTCTGCCAGGTGCCTAGGAAGGATGACAGCTTGACCAAAGTTTCCTAAAGGCAAGAACCCCTGGAGCCATGAGCCCTCCGCCACCAAGACTTCAAGCCCTGCTTGGGCTTTTGGAAACTCAACCGCAAATGCCCCCCCCCCCCCCAGAAACCCGCCAGGTATGAGCTGGAGCCATTCTTCAATGCTCCGGGCTATCTTTGCAACATCACGGTGTTGAGGTCGCCAACTTGGGACGATGGCGTAGGACTGTTGAACCCTGCTGTACATGTGCTCAGACAGAGTTGGGACCAGGGCTGGGATTAAGTCGTTGAAAGGTCCGGGTGGCAGCTTGAGGGCTGAATCACTTGCGAGATCTTGCGATCAAGAGTTGGATTTATGGCTCATTGCAAACTCGCCGCTTGAGGATAGCTAGTTTCGTTTTGCGAAAGATACCATATTTTTTGAGATGTATATGTCCTTGGTTTTCAGGGCGGCGACTCTCCTTTGCTGGCTTCCTGCTAAAGCCACTTGTCATGGCCGGCGTTAAATGCCCCGAGTCCTGCCGGGTGCTAAAAGATCCGTGCGTGTGACTCGGGGTCAGACTCTTGTCTGGCGTCGTGCCCAAAGTTTTTAATAAACATGATCAACGACAAGCACAAAAAGGATTAACAAGAACGATAGTAACGGTAGTTGCAAGTTGTGAGGTTAGAGGTTATTCGTACCTGTAGTGTGTCAACAATACAAGAGTAGCTATCGATGACAGATCGCGCAGGGATGGCGCGGCCAGAATTCCTAATGCCCGGGGGTTAGGTGCGCCCATTGACTGGATCCTTTACAGGAACCACCAAGGTCGTCCCAAGGTGCACAAACGGGACGACGTCCGAATGGCCTTGCCCTCAGATCACGACATGGTCGTGGCCACCTTCACGGACCAGGAACGTACTGCAGTACCCCGGAGCAGACCGCTCGCCAATTGTGGACGCTGGGCTTTCGATTGCACGCGTTGGGGAGAACTCATCAAGGGACTGCCAGCTTGCCCAGATGCTGACCAGCTAGAGCGAGCTTTCTCCCAAGTTCGTTACCGCACTAAGGCCTCTCGCTATCGGGACAGCGAAGAAATTAGAGAGTTGATCAGGCGCCGTAAAGTTGCAGTAGATCCGACTGTTAGGCAGGCATTGGTCACGGAGATAGCGCAGCTTAGGGCTAGAGACCAAGCCTCGTTTAAGCAGTCACAGTTGGAGAGGGCCAAGAGCGGTGACCATGCGGCGATCGCACAACTGCGGCGCAGTGCGACTCAGACAAGATTGTCGGGGTCGTACATTCAGGACAGAGGGGGGCAGGTCGAAGCTTCCAAAGAACTCGAGGGTTTCTACAGGGACAAGTATGATGCCGATGGACCCGGTGTCAACCAAGGTAAGGCCGCTAAACTTGCCGAGAAACACTCGCGAGTCCCCTGCACCCCTTTCCTTAAAGAAGAGCTGGTGTCTGCGCTGGCCCACACGGCCAAAGGGGCGGCAGCAGGAGCTGATAGCATCACGTATGAAGCCCTTAGAGTGTTCTGTCAGGTGGATTGTGCTGACAAGTTGTTGGCGACCTTCAATGCCATTCTGGATGGGTCTCAGAACCTGCCAGCCCAATGGAAGGAGGGACATCTTGTACTCCTCCCCAAAGTGCCGCAACCGGCAGGACCTGCCGACCTGCGACCAATCGCGCTCACGCCCTGCTTGTCTAAGGTGTTTGGCCGCATGCTCCTCGGACGGCTGGATGATAAGTTTCCGCCCTTTACTGCGGGCCAGTTCGCCAACCGAAAAGGGTCACAGACTGTGGACGCAGTCGCGACTGCGCAATTGGCCATGCATCTTGCCACGGCGGGACACGGCTGCAAGCCAGTCCTGGCTAAGATGGATGTGAAGGCGGCCTTTGACACGCTCTCTCAGGACGCTATCGCGGAATTCTTGCTTCATACTGAGGCCTCAAGAGAGACGTGGCTCCTGTGGCAATTGTGCCACAACAACGAGGTTCACATGCGACTAGGGACCTCAGCTTGGTCGGTGCCCCTACGCCGTGGTCTGCTTCAGGGTACGGCATACAGCGCAGTGCTCTTTAGCAGGATTGTTGATTTTTTCGTAGGCAAACTGGTCCTGAGATGGCAACATACATTCCCGCGCTGGGACCTCCCGCACTGCCTACTTCTCGCTGACGATGTGCTACTCCTTGCCAGTGACTGCCTCTGCCTTCAAACTAAAGCCAGAGACATTGCCCAGGTCCTGGCCGCCATAGGGCTCCAGATCAATGTTAGGAAGTCTTGCGTTTTGGAGACAGAGCCCGATGCAGCACCCGCGATATGGCTTAGAGGAGAAGTGCAACCGCTCCAAACTTCCAAACTGCGGCCAGTCTTCTTTACCTGGGGATCCCACTGTCCTTTAACTTTAGACCCTCCGTCTGCCTCGCGAGGTCCATCTGTAGGGCCAGTAATGCCTACTTCGCCATGAGACGCTTGCTTGCCTCCCGATCGCTCCTGGGGGCCCACAAAGTCAAACTGTTTGACCTGTACATAACGTCCAAATGGGCCTGGGCGAGTGGGCTAGTCTGGCCTGACGCAGTGTCAGTTAGACAACTGGACGCACAACAAAATACGCTGCTGCTAGGGCTAATGGACTTGCCCCCTGATCTCCTGGGCGAATTTGTCACAAACATGGTTGCGAGAAGACGAGCTGTTAAATGCTTCTTGTCATGTTTGGGAATCCCCACACGGGCAAGTAGATGGCTGAGGCAAGTGTGGACCTACTGGGGCCATGTTGCGAGGTACCAGCTTTCAACCCCGCTCGCAGGACTAAGGGACTCCTTTGGAACCTTTGCCCAAATGTCGGGGTCAGCAACGCTGGCCAGGGTCAAACACACGATTCTTCGCAAAATACAGCTTGTGTATGCTGCTGTGCGTACTGAGGCATGCCCAGCAACCTGGGAGACGGCAGCTAAGGATCGCGACGCCTGGCTGGCGCTCTTACCTGAATGGACGGCTTACTGGAAGCCGCGACACCCGAACAGTGACCTGCTGGGAAGACAACTGGTGATAGTGGCTAGAGCAGACGCATGCCTACGTCCCTTTCGCTGGTTCCCGGAGGAGCCGTACGATAGCGATATCCTTCACGTTCGTGCTGCTAAGGAAATGCCGAATGGACCCTGTGTTTTTGGGGACATTCGTCCCGAGGGATTAGTTGTCGCTATTGCTCTCATCAGGAGAACTGGAGCCTCTGTTCGTCTGGTTGTGCAAGAAAGCATCGTGCCCGGGGCGGACACGCTGCACGGGAGATCTTTGCAGTTGTGGAACCTAATAGGTGCGCTTCATCTTAAGGCCCCTCAGCTGTCTACATGCGCGATCCTCATTCCCATGTGCCTGTGCTCAGGGATGCTCCTAGGAAACAGGGCCCCACTGACCCTTGCGGCGGCGTCGGCCACGTTCGAGAACAGAGAGCGCGCCTTTTGCCTCCTATCCCGGGCCTTTGTTTTTCGCCCTAAGGATCGAGGTAAGCTTCCACAGGAACTTCGTGAGTTGCAAACAGTATCGATACCTCAGAACTTTCAAGCACTCAGCAGGGAAGAGGGCTTCCAAAATAGTGTTTTCCATTGCAGGAGATGAACCTTTTCACTTGTGACATCCTTTTATTCAGAATGGAGCAACAGGCAGGGAGGCCTGCCGCCCCAACAATGAAACATCATGCAAGGTCATGTTTTACT